GTATTATTATCAATAAATTAATAATTTCTCTTGTCTAAACACTTAAAATAATTTTTGCAATCTCTTGTAGGACTTTACAAAGAAACGTGCATACTCAAAGTGTTAAATTGGTGTTTAAATATGTTCAAAACCTATATTTTCCAGTGCGATATTGTCTAAAATCTTACATTTATTTGTTTGAATAACATCCATGTAGTATTCTAAAAATCAGGTCATCTTTCTTCTCAGTAAAATGGCTTCATGTGTAAGAAAATCACAAAATAAGGAAGTATTTGACATTTCCCCGAGCGTCAAATTGTTGTAATCACGTTAGATTCAGTACATTTCAAGACTCTTTTTAATGATTTCATTCAAGTACATCTGTCAGTAAAAGCAATCACGAGTACGCTCTGTACTCAAAATTAAATTACAAGAAACCATCAGTCGTTAATGTTAACAAATTTAAGTTGTGTAAATCTAATCTATATTTTTCCTGGTTGTTATTTCATTTTTGTTATTTCACACGCCACACATATGAACTTATACGTTTAAATGATTAAATAACCTAAAATGGTAGTACTACAAAAATTTATATGATTTCGATCAAAGATATCAATAATATTATGCTGAAAACCTAATACAGAGTTTCTTTTGCAATTTAGTTTTTACGTGCAATTTGTCATACATAATTATAATATAATAGTTGAGAAAATATATGAAGCCATTGTATGTGTGTTTGAACTTAGTGTATGTAGTTCGCACGTGTCCTTGCAACATACTCATTTCAAAATATCAATGTTTAGTGTGACATATAAAGGAAAGCAGCAGATGAAAACGTATTAGAACATAATACAAATAACGTATGCTTTCATTACAAAAATTCAATATATTCTGTGCATTATGCGCCTCACGGTTGGTACACCCTAAATTATATACAATAATTCCCAAAAGCATATTCTGAATTCTTTAAGTGTGCATAGTCTGACTCGAAGTACATACTTAATGACAGACTGTAAATGTCAAAATACTCTTACGGAATACAATTATTTCTGAGCAGCATATTTCTTGAAAATCAAATAAGTGAGACGTTTATTTCCATCAGATATTGAACAAATATTGGTAAAGACGTTTGCAACGGTACTTCACTACAGGGCGCGTCGTCATGTTTAGAAGAGTACAAACTGCGTACCGTATTAAAGCTGGGGTGAGTACGTACAAAACATTAACAAACTCTGTTTTGATATTCCTCTTTTACGGGTTGGTATACGAACATTCAGTTATAAACATTGAATGCATTTGAAGTTGTTAACGTAATATATTATGATAAACAAGATCAACAAGGAAAGGCGGCGTTCATTGAATGCAACCCCCACACGACCCAGTAACAATGAGAAGCGACCAGGAGCCCAGGAGGACCCAAGACAAAAACAGGACATGGCACAGGCAGAACATGAGCAGGATAATCACTTTAATAATACATAAAAGGAAATATTAGTAACCGACAAGAAAATCAAATACAATTGATTGATTAATAGGCCCACAACGTGAAAAGGCACAGTTTACTCATGTAATGTTCATACAATTTGTATAACAGGAGATAAATAATTTTAGATACACGCTGATTTATTTTCATCAAATGAGCAAGTTACAAAACAAAATAAAACATCGGCAACACAGTTTTACCATCTAGTAGAGAGTTATGGTGCAATATTTGACATTTTTATCATTTAACTTATTACGCTTCAATCTTTAAAAAAACATATATATTCATTATACAACACTCTTATTAGTGCATACAAATAGAATAGAAATATTATATTTTTCATAATAGTATACTTTTTGATAGCTAAAATAAGTTCTATTTAAATGTTAGATTCTGCAATAGCCGTTTCAAAGGAGCATGGACGGTAATGGTTCCATGTTAGGTGACCTTTTAAATTGCAAATTCACTGTTTTGTTTCTTTTGTTGTTTATAATTTTCCAATATTTTGCATCGATAATAACAGAATTTTCTACTTATTGTATACGCTATACTTAATATACAGTCTGGCGCGCTACGCGTTTTAAATAACATATCGCGGCTACAGATTTCCAAGATATACTGGTATGTCCTACTAATAAAGGCAGGAAATCGTGAAAAAGAGATAAATTTGAAACATTGTCTGTATTCAAATAATGAATCATCGACAATCGAGAAAATAAAAGTCAATTCCGGTTTCGCAATGCTTCTGAGCTACTTAATCACTCACGATACACTACCATGTTTCTTTATTTGATACTAGTTCTAGTTATTTCCAGAAAGGGATCTCGAGAAAATTTTACATAAATTTATTTATATGTCTAAATATAGACGTGATACAAATTATAATAGATTTGGCAATATATAACATCATTCTAAAGGCCAATTGTGTCTCTGAAATGCTATCATTTTTATTTCTCAATACATTTTTATGTTTGGTATCTTGTTACAGTTTCCTTAAATAATTTATTCGTTATATATATGATATTTTGCTTCTTTTGCCCTGTTGGCAATTGGATTAATGATACCGAATGAGTATTTTGTATAGACCTTTGTGGGACATTACTGCACGTTCTGTGCTACATATTGTTCAGTGCTTTCAATGTGTTTTTGCTGAAATCATACAGGTGTTAATGTATTGCAAGGGTCATTTAGATGTTAAAACTTCTACAGGCAGATCTTTTCTAGTCAATAGTACATTGATTCATGAGTGATGTTAAGACGTTTGCAACATTTCCTCGGGGGTATGAACTCTTTGTAAAGTTAAACCTCGGAAAGGTTTCAAATTAGTATGTTGACAGATTATCTATACACTAATACACAAATAAAATTTAAAATGATAAAAATACAATGAAATTAGCTTCTTTTACCACAGTGACTTAACTATAAAATTGTGTAAAACATTCAAACACAAACTAAGGTGTTATAATTAGATCTGTGTTGCTTTTAATAAAAACGTTTGTTTTTCAAGTCAAAAATTAAAGCAGTAAATCGACTTTTGAATAATTTGACCACAAATCTGTGTGATCGAAATGGGTTTAATATTAATAAAATGGTATTGTAAGAAAAGAATCGAGAGCGGAAATACCAAGACGATATTTTGTACTCTTATTTAATAGTTTCACAAACTTTGATTCATGTTCACATATTGTTGTTGTAGGTATCAAGTTAAAACTGTGACCTTCTAAAGAGGAAATACAAAAAGTCGCAATTTTATACATGTTAATTCTAACTTTCTAAAAAAAGGTGAACCTATCCATAATATCTACATCCAAAAAAAGCTTATATTGAACGCAATGAGTGCAGATATATATATATATATAAATTTGGTAAGAAAATGAATGTCAAAGTGTGGTATCTCTTCCTTAAGTGTATCTTTCAAAAGTATGAATTTTATAGCTATAGCAATTTCATTTAATTCTTAAATATTTCCTTTTATGACTGCATTGGATATAAGGGGCGTTCTTGGTCGAATAGTTAATGTTGGTGACTTCAGACCACTTGTCCCATGACGTTGTAGGTCTGAATCCCACCAGGGACTTGGATTCTTTCGTGTGAGGTTTTTTTCAGCTATGTAACAGAACGTCGGTGGTTCCACTGAGGTACCCGCTCGAACTTTGTTGGTGTGACAAAAAAAAAGACAAAAAAAATATCACAGCATGTACGCTGTTATTAGTATACAATAATGATCTGGAGCTATATCATCATAATATATAAATTATATCACGACTGCAAATGAACAAGATATCGTCACAATCATTTTATGTAAACAATGTGTAAAGAACGTTCTGTAAGAAAAATATTTAATCGAATACCCCTTGAAATTACATTTTAGGATCTTCGAAAGGAAAAATGCATTTTTGGTATCTTATTTTATATGAGATAAAGATGTCATAATCATGTACCGAATATATGAAAATGTTACTTTTTATCATGAGATGTTAATATAAAATGTAAAAAATATTATTTCAAAAAATATATTTCTCAAGGAATTATTATTTCAATTTATCATTGAATAAAAAACGACAAAATTTAACCGTATATTACAATGCACTTTATACCATTGACATTGAGAAGCCAATTGTGTCCGAATGAATCCTCTTATTAAATCAAATTTAGCAATCTGGTATAAATTTACCCTCTGAATAAAGGTCTTTCTGAGAACAATAACCCTACTTAAAATAGTAGAAAAGTGTGTATTGCTTGTAGAAACTATGCTACAGAACGATACAAATTAGAACATTTACGAAATGAAAGCTTTTTTTATCTTTTCCAACGGAATTTAAACGAAGCTTTCATATATGCTCTCTAATTTCGTAACATGTATTTGTTTAAACTTTTCTGTATACTTGACACTTAGATATCATGATGTATCGGTTTTATTATAAATGATTATATCGCATTACATATCTATTCTATATTCATAATTTCATGTTTCATATATCATTGAATAACGGATGGGAAATTAATCCGGTAAGTATTTTTGAAATAATTGTTGCTGTGAGCAGCTGATTGTTCTACGGATGGTCGCTATGCAGAGGTGGAACAGTAGGACAGATCAAGAGCTGATACAAAGGGTGAACCTCTTTGAGAGAAATAAATACAGTAACAAAAATTATTTGAAGCAGGATGTTTTAAATATAACAAAGGAAGAGAAAAAGGTATTCTCATTTTATTAAAATTGTGCATCATAATACGTGAAACAGATATAAAATATATGTACATGTTTTGTAAGAAACAAATGTTAAATGTATTTTCAATTGGGAATCTTTATCTAAACACTAGTTATTCACTTAAAAATGTCAAGTCAAGTCAAATAATTTATTGGCAAAAACATATACATGTTCATCGCCAAGTAACATTGTAATGAATCGATTTCCTTGACACTGTAACAGGAATGATAAACACTCAAAGACAACTTGATAGCGAACAATAAGCAAGGCATACTACTTCTTTCATTTAAATGCCGGCCGTGAAAACTTGCCGACCATAATATTTGACAGTACAACAAATATGTTCAAATTAAAAGCTATGTCACAGTGTCTGCAAATTATGTTTGAACTCAGCATATAAAATCATTGAACCGTATCTATTTAAAACAATTATTTACAAACATAATTCAAAACAAATAAAAATAAAGATGCATTTCACAATGCTAAAACTTTGGAAAGAAAATCACATAATGCATCAACATTAAGAGTTTAATACTTTTGTTTACTTGGTTATTTTTGCACTTTATGGTTATGGAGATATGTGGTCATCTTCGGGTATACCGAAAGTTCGACAAATACTAAAATTCTAAGGTCTATGTTTATGCATGTAGTTTAGATAAGACTTAGTTAAACAGCATTTTTGTAATTTACAGGAAATAACGAAACAAATCTGTAGTGTCACTGAGAAGTTTGAGTGAAACATGTATATACAGAAATATCAAACTTAACTGTGTATATTACTCCCAGAAACTTAATTCAATATCTTAATAAATCTGGAACGATTGAATAAAACCCATAATTATCAAAACAGCAAAAATTTTAAGTCTTGCTAACTCGTTTTTTGATTGTGAGCGGAAGTAAAAATGCAAGCTAAGGTCCTCACTCCTCCAACTTCCCGCTCCCCCCTTCTGGCACAGACATAAGCATTATTCAATATTTAAACATCAAATGGTAGAATTTTGAATAAACAACTTCGGCAAACATCAGCATATGTGTCCATAATCATGTCAAGGATATCTCTTTTTAATTGCTTGATTGGAAAACTTTGAAGATTTGTTAATTAATCCGGACCTTACAAAATGACACTGTGTTATGCGTAGCTCGTAAATATTCATACCCAAAGAACTCATTTTCCGAAAATAATGACGACATTTTTGACAATAAATTATTCATTTTCTCTCATTTTCCTCTAAATTAAAAACAAAAAGGTCGTTTAACACTGTTCGGTGCGAAAGCGCAATATAAGTAAAATGAAATTATTGCAAAATTCAACACGCAGTTTCAAAAGTTTTATGTTAGGATTTATAGCAAAGCAAGTAAAATTTGTACGCATCTTTCGGTCCTATTAAATCGTGCAGTAACACAGTGACACAATTGTATCGACACAAAAGGAGCTTAAATTGTCATAAAAAAGATTTTATTTTCATTTCATTGCCAATTTGCAAACAGTTTTACACTGTTTATTCTTTTTTGTGATATATCTCGCAGTAAAAGCGTCGCTAAAAAGGACGTTCAAGACAAATGCAAATCTCCACTCATAGATAGAAATAAACATGATTACCAATACATTTGACTCACTTCTTGCTTGTAACTTTATATATACACCTGTTACCTTTGAATGTCACTACACTAATGAGTTCTATTGAGACTTATGTATATTTTTGAAGCAACTCTCTTGCACACTTAATTCTAATAATCACTAGTTATTGATCAATGTAGTCACACTTTTAATACATGAGTGTCAACATTGTGTACAGCATTTTAGTCAATTATATTTGTTCTGCTTTATTTAAAAGGCAACCAAAGTGGAATCGTTACTTATACAAATAATCCCTTGGAAAAGTCGGTTGTTACATATATCACAATGTTTGTCATATTTCTGTTAAGATGAGCAACTAGTCGTTTACTTTGTACGAACAATGAAAGGCTCCTTTTGAGTATTTATCGTTGTTCTCCTCACAAATATTGGATTTGCCTTATGGAAATAAGTAATCTTATAAACAAATATCAAAGTAATAGTCCAATATTGGTTCCTTGCTTTACATAACAATCGTCGGATTCGTTGCTCCATCATCATTATCGTCTTTATCTGTACTTTCCAATTTGTCTTCAAGTCCTGGAATTATCCTCACCATGTCGTCGGTAGTTGAATTCCTTTGCATAAATTGAGTCACAAACACAACAGCCGTCGCCTCTGCTATCATGAACGCCATTCCAGCAAAGAAAAATGACCACCCGTATTCATATTCAAACTGTTTGCCTTCTTTGTCTTTGGTTCTATGACCAACTTCGTCGTTTATTGCAGATATATAAAAGATTATGCCTACAGCTAATGTTAGGCCTGTAAACAGAAAATGATGTCTTTTCATCGATTACTTTCAACAGTTATTAAATATTTTATCTGGTATGTTTTAAGTGTGATATGAAGATGTTTAAAAAATGTTTCTATACAGTTTTCATAAAAAATGAGAAATAGATTTAATTTTTTTGCGCTGTAACTATCATTTTTATGAATTGAATGGCAAAAGTGAAGATGGCAATGCCGTTATCAATCAATATCCATTTTTTTATATAAATTGTTGTTAATTAACATCTACTCCATTCAATTTTGTCAGAAATTGAATAAATCGATAAAAATTATTCAGCTGATATTTATTGTTATCAAATAATAATATGAATGAAGGATATATTGATTAAAATATTTAAATTTAGAGACTTCATCATTGGACAGGAGACCACAAAGTATTCAGGAGAAAGTTTAAAAGCAAAAATATGGAAATTTAGTCAAGACTTCATCCTTTCATCAAGAATTTCATTGTAAGCCAAAATTGATATTGATGTTTTTGTGTGATGTCTAAAATGGTCTTCAAATATTTCACGTTATCACATTTTGTCATGTTTATCACCATATTAACATTTCTCTGGTGTTAAAAATGTTTGTGATATTTTACAGAAATACCTCCAAGTATAGACACTACAGCTGCCAAAAGAGTCTTGATGTCTCGTCTGATATTGCCAATAATTCCCAGGATAACAGCTATTGTTATCATTACCAATGCCACCACTGGAAACATCGCAGCCATCCTTGTAGCTCCTAATGCAGATATAAAATATTAAGAACATTGAAACTGCGTCTGATTGGGTGATTTATGGAAAATATTAAAATGAATTCAAGCTTGTTTACTGTTGAATCAATGCATGTGTTTGTTTTTTAATCACAAGGTTGTTTTAGTAATGGAATAAAATAATCTTATTGCTAAGCGTTTCTTTACTCATTTTTTTTTCATTTTATGAATTAAGAAATAAAAAACAAAATCGTAGTTCAACCTTCTAGGGTTTTTCATCATCGACACTAATATACCTACTCATGATTGCAAACGACGTTTGCTGTGACTCAACTCTTTCAGTATCAGAATGTACAGCATCATAAGACGCACATACTTTTTTTCCATCTCCTGCAAAAATTCAAGAATACTTGTTTTCAAAACAAATAGTGTGTTTTTACGTGTATGATTTTATTCCTGCTATTAAAAGTACAAAAAGTTCTAACCTAAAAGGGTAAAAATAGTGTGCAGTATCAAGAAATTAATTCGCATATAAGAAACAAATGTAACGTAAGGAATGTCAAATTAAAAAAAAATGGTCATTGGCAGTTTTTAAAGATATTTATGCTTAATACAAGTATTGATTAAATTAGTTAGTATTCATGCTTAGAGATAAGAAAATAAAAGCAATGTTATAAGTACCGTTAAAAGTTCAGCATTTTAACATGATCTCACTAACTGAATGGTTTACAATGTCAAATGATAGAACACAAAGCTATGTTAGTTAAGAACAAAATGTTCTTTGAAAGTGAGTATTAACATCAAAATGTTTTATAAAAAAGTGATTAATGACAACGATGATGAGAAAAATTATTTGAAATACAGTGTTAAGTCAGAATTATACACAGATCGAAGAAGTTATCAACTGTTCAGAGCATTCATTTTCAATCACCAAACACGCGAAATAGCGTAACAATAATCCAAGCCGTGAAGCATTTACTGACTCCATAAGTATCAAATTTCAAAATTTTATTCCCGTAAATAATTAATATATGTATGTATGTATGTATGTTATAATAGTATAGTCATTCTCATATTAACACAAGAATGTTTCTTAATACTTAATTTTAACATTTACCAATGTTAATGTTGAACTCCCTTCGCTAGATGAGAATCGTCACTTAAATTACTATTTACGGTCATAAATACTCACTAAAACAAAGCACGCAATGTCATAATTGTTAGAAAAGTTTAAAAACCATGCAGCATTCATACACAATAATGATGAAAAAATAGCATAAGTTTTAGTTTTAAAGATGAGCTACATTGTATATGATGATAAGAACAAATTTGTTTTATATTCATAACCGCAATCTCTTTGAATCGCTATAGAAATATGGTTAATTTGAAGGGCTAATTTATATTACGTATCATATATGTCTTTTTAGATGCACATCTTCAAGGAAGGGACTAAATGTTAGACGAAATAAAAAAGAACATGTGCAATTCATTTGCCCATAGAAACTATACACTTCTTCTTCATGCATATATGGAAATAATAGCGTCTTTTTTGGCACAAAATGGAGAAAGATAATAAGAGTTAAGTAGATCAGTTTAACATGTTTTTTATTTCCAAGAGAGTAATATACTTATTGCAAAAAAGCTTGACGACCTATCCTTAAAGGAAAAAGCCAATATAAAATGAAGTCTCGATTACAAGTTTTAAGACTATATCTGTAAACAATAACGACATAAATTGTCGTTTTGAAGTAGATCATGCTCTGATGGAATACAAGTCAACATAAAAAAGTAAAACGTTCAACACAATAGATCCCAAATAGATACGTAGTTACTCCATCACTGTTTGTTCATGAGTGATATTTTTATATTGTTTTGGAATTTCAAAATTCATGCATTTACAGATTCTATGTTTTTATGAAATTATTAAAACACTAACGGTACGCTTTATCATTTATCATTTTAATTATTGTCCAAGAAATCAATTCATTTATAAATTTAAGTACTAGCATATATTTGAAGAAAAGGCATTTGTATATAAAGTATTCAATTTACTATTATCGTTTTTTGTTAAGACCTATTTGTTGTTTTCTTAACCGTGATCACTAAATTCTTTTCAGTAGTTTTGAACAAAATTGGCTTTACGTAATTAAGCCTAACATTATTACATTATATTTTTTCACGACTCATTACTCAACAAACTATAGCATTCAAATATAATGACACATTTATTGTTAAACTTTGTTTCTTCAAATGACTGGTCAAGTGATTAATAATGATATTGGTTAGTTCTGAAAAATTCTTCACAATGCTAAGTATCAATTATTTCATTAGCTTGTATTCATTATGTATATGGTTATTTAGTCAATAGAACGCTGTTTGAAATAAAATTCGTCAGTCTTTTACGGAATACAAATCAACATCAAGTGGAAATGCTAAGTGTATAAGATTGCTTTTGGTTCCGAATGAAAGCTGACATAGCGAGAAATATGACGATAAATAAGTATGATACATCCAATTTCAATCTGATTACAACAAATGACAAAACAAATTGGAAAGTGTTCAGAAAATAAGCAAGCGCCAACAAATAGATGATTTTCTGATAGGCAATTTGAATCTTCGTTAATTCCTGATACAGTTTAGTAATAATTTGACAATACAAGATAACTGCCCAAAAAAAAATTAATATCTGGCTTTGCCACCTTCCCCCCGAACACACACTTCGGTTATTAATTTTGTCCTTGTCCTTACATAATTAAGTTGTGTATACCAATTCGTAATGATTTTATGTTCCATGACATATTTAAGAATACTAAGTGAAAATAGAAATGGATGTTAAACAATGTTTTTCAAATCTGATACTTTCTTTTTGTATTTAAAGGTCTGACATGTATTCATATTTCTTCTCTAAGCCACATTAGTTTACGTAAAAATAGAGAGAAATTAATGCTCAACCAGACAAAATTAAAAATGTTGCCGGCTCGATTTCATTGAGCCTGTTCAAGGACGGTAATGGCTTAAGCAGGATTCCGCCTGGGCTCCTTGCCACTGGTTCTTGTTGCTGGATCATATGGGGGTTGCGTTCATTGAACGCGGCCTTTTCTTGTTGATCTTGTTTATCATATTTTTTCCACATTTAATTATGGTAATTGTAAAATTTTGAAATTACAAACATCCACAGATGTGTTCATTCTGAAACCTTCAATGTGACACTTTCGTGCCATTCAATAAAAAGCGGCGTATGGTCCCCAAGTAAAAGAATGTGTGTGCCCTAAACGAGAAAACAATGGGCGGAACTGAATAAAATGGAATTTTGTAAGGGGATTAGATGGTATGAAGCCTGCATATCACAGATATGATGTCTAAAAGACAAATGTAAAAGGCAGGTAACATATCCTAAGGGTGATTCAACATTATTCAAGTAAAAATATAGGAACACCCCAACTAGAAAAAAAGTATTGTTAGTCAACAATAATGTCGTGCTGAACGACTTTTAAGGATCGGAAAAAATAACATCCCCGTAAAGACAACATTCAAGTTGATTGATCGGAAAATGATTTTACCCGCCAATTTAACAAACGAAATAGATTTCCCCAGGCTGTTTAGCGTTTGATTTAACATTATTCTATAAACAGTCTGTGATGAAGAGATTTGCGATATTGACTGACATTTAGGATTGGTAGTTTCAATGTAGTGATTAACATTTACACAGCACGTAGGATTTTAATTTAATGTTCCCTCTTTTCTTGAGGAGAAAATCATTATTTTTATGACAGTATTCTTCATCAAGAGAAAAGCACAAGCATTGTGAATTATGCATTATATTTAAAGACGAATGATATTAAGATTACAAATGAAATCAATGCCGCTATAGCCATAATTACATCTAGAAAAAGCACTTAATGTTGTCAATGAATGTTATTTAAACCAATCAATCTTATAAGGGTATACTTCGTATATATAAGATATAGGGAACATCTGCAAATTTGCTTCAATTAGTTTGTGCTTAAATGAAATTTAAAGTTTTTTTCCAGTTAAATATATAAATTGGCGTGGACAATGGCTTGCACTTTCCAGTTTTTCCAGGCTTTGTTTTTGTCTACCTAATACCAAAAAGAAACTTTTACAAGCTTTGCAATTTTAAATTTTTTTATGACAGTATTCTTTATCAAGAGAAAAATACAGGCATTGTGAATTATGTATTTACATTTAAATGTTAAAGACGAATAATATTGATATTACAAATCAATGATGCTATAGCCATACTTACATCTAGTAAAAAGAACTAAATGTTGTCAATGAAAAAGTGTTAACTTATTTAAACCAATCTTATTAAGGTATACTTCGTATATACTAAGATATAGAGAACATCTGTAAATTTGCTTCAGTTAGTCTGTACTTAAATGAAAATTAGTTTTTAGTTAAATATATAAATGGGCGTGGACAGTAGCTTGCACTTTCCAGTTTCCGCTGCGAACAGGGTTATTTTTGTCTACTTTATGCAACTTTAACTTTGATTCATGTTCAGCAGTTTCTTTAAAATGTTCTTTTAGGCCAAAAATCAAACTCTTTTGAAAGATTTACCGCAAAGTGTTTCAAAATAAACGAATATGTATAAATAAGAACTCAAAGCAAAACGATTAGATAATTGCAAAAATGCATTAATATCTTGAGCATCTTAAACAAAGTTGCCTTATGCCAATAAATACCTTTAAATAATAGTAGGTCTGAGAATCGTTCACAATTATTAAGGTATCAAAATTTGTAATTTTTACTTATTAATTGCAAGGATGTAAGAGCGTTCACTCCGCTTTGATAAAATTAAGTATTATTATCTGTCAAAGGGTCAAGATTTTTTTAACAAAACAACATTCATTACAAACATAACATTTCTATGCAAATTTATATCTAAACATTTTTGTTTACAATGTTTTGTTAATGATCATGTCATTTTCTATGAAAAATTTAATGTTTGAAAGGAAATGTCCATTTAAGAGCAGCTTTACATCAGATTGACATATTTTTATAAGTTAAGTCAATCTTTGTAGACGATGAATATTGACAACTAATTTTTAAGAGATGCGATCGCTACTGACAATATAACTATTTACAGTGCCCATTTTCCTTTTCCGGATGAAGCATTCAAGAATTAATATATCACAGATAAGAGGGCTTCCATTAACATAGACGTGACTATCAATATTGCGGCGTGTTTTGCTAAAAGTCAAAATAGGTCAAACGAATGAGAGCGTGTGTGAAATTGCATTTTTTATTTGTATTGTATTGGTTCATTGTAGAAATGAAAATCATATTTCAGTTCACAGTTGTACAAAAGGAGCAAATCCTACTGCAGAACTTTAGAGAAAGAAAACTGAGACCATAAACTTAAAATTCACACTTAAAACACTCTTACAATTTTTGTATAATTTATTAAAATATGCTTAAAGTACTTGCTTTACAGCCACGTTTATAAAATTACTGCTTAAACAGCAGACAAGCGGTTAGCAGAAGAATTGAAGAATTTAAATATCAAATGTAGTTTCAAAAAAACCTCTTTTATGAAATGATTATGATCTCAATGTAATAGAGGTAAAGACTACCTGTATAAAACATAAATTCTATTACGAGATTGTTTGTGTCACTACATTTTAATTGTAATATCAAACTCGGATTATTATATGAACTATTATGATATGATTTTAACTCTGACATTCAATGAATAATTTGCACTTAATATCATATAGTTAACGATTGTAACAACTTTGGAAACTTAAATAAGTCATAATAAACATATTTTACTCATTAAAAGCACCAATCACAAGATTGTCTCGTTCAAAGGCATTCTTAAACACTTTGAAATTAAAACCTTTTAGTAATATAACTAAAAATTAACGAAAAGAAAGAAAAAGACGAGGACGAAATGTGATATTAAATTCA